GGAACAGTCACTCTCAATAGCTATGGGAAGTATTTCAGTCACTGTAAATATATATCCCCATTGTTAGATTAATAGATTGACATTAGGGCTTATCCTTACCTCATCCCCTCCCCACTTTCAAAAGAGTTTTTAGAGCCTGGCTATATCTAAGTGAAATAATAAACTTCATAAAACAGTAGTACTGAGATCCAGACTCTGGACTGAGAGTGCCCTCCCCACTCCAACCCTCAGGTTTCAAGCTCTGGATCTGTCATGAAGTAGCATTTGTATCCTCAAGTAAACTTTGAATTTGGTTCTCTCACTCAGCTGGACTTTCTTCTGACCTGGCCTAATCTGGCCTTCTCACAGCCCACACATTTTAGAATTAGAATTAGAGGGCACATTGAGATCATTTCTTGCAGAGGCCAGGACAGGGAAGTTGCTGGTCCAAGGTCCTACAGTTGGTGGGTGACAAGGCAGGGCTAGAACCCAGCTGCTTTCTATTCTAGTTCACTCTCTTCATTTCTCTATACTCTATGGCTGCTTTGTTCTCAAGTTTTGAATAAAGTGACTTAGGAAGTAGAACTTTTACCATATGTGTGGGGAGACTTCATTGCATGTCTTAGATATATTCTTGTAAACTTAATAACAAAAAGAGTCTCAGTAAATTATATATTTTATCACGTCTTGCAAAGATTAGAGATGTAATCCTTTGGTAAAAGCTTTCAGCCTTATACACTTGGACATAATAGAAAAAACTATGTGCTCAGAGGGAAAAGAATTTTCTGATAAAATAGTAAAATGTTCAGAATAAATCAACAAATATTAAAGTCTGATACAGCAATATTTTTGTCTAGAGGAAGATGTAGCCTATTTCTTTAAATTTAATATATATTTTTCTCTATCTATAGGTAAATAATTTCTTTTGAAAAACTTGAATTAAAAAAATTTTTCCAAAAACTTTATCTTGAGTGATCACTATTAATTGTTTATTTAACAGCCTGGATTAGTATATTGTGTAAATTCTTTACCATTAAAAGTCAGTTTTCCTGATGGTATTAAGATTTATAGGTATGATTTTTTCGGAAGTAGGATTTCTGTAAGCAAAATAGACAAAGAAGCAGTTACTTTGGTTTTTACTAGTCATACGATAGTCCATTTTATAATTTAATAAAAATAACTCTACAAGTGTGTATGAGATAACAAGTTTCAGATTCTTTAAGAAGGAAGTCTGATGTCAGTTTTCTTTCCTCAGTTACTTGCTGTGACCATCCTTCCTCTGGCCAACACCACCCTAGTAACCCCCTTAGCCTAGTCCTCCAGGTCAGTACATTTTGTTAACAATGATTTCAGAAGGAAGTGCTTAAACAAATAAACTACACAGATAGTCCTCACACTTTATGTTAATTAATCATTTCAGCCTGCTCTCCCACTTTTAAGTAGAGCAGCTAATAAGAAACAAATGGATGGGTTTGAGTTTCATCTCCTTTTGTTTTCTCTGCTCACTTTCCTGGAAAAGGGGGCTAATGAGCAGTGAAATGGCCAGGCATGAAAAGCCAGAGAGGAGAGCCTGTCTGTGGAGCCTGATGGCTGTATAATTGGCTCCTCACTTATCACCAGGTGCCCCATGGTTTTATGAAGGTGTCTAAGATATCTGGGATCCGCCCTGACCATTGTGGCTCAGTTGGCTGGATGTTGTCCTCCAAAGCTGAAAAGTTGCTGGCTCGACTCCCAGTCAGGTCACATGCCCAGGTTGTGAGTTCAGTCCCTGGCTGGGGCTAAATAAGAGGCAACCACACATCGATGTTTCTCTCCCTTTCTTTCTCCCTCCCTTCCCTTCTCTCTAAAAATAAATAAATGAAATCTTCAAAAAAAAAATCCGGGATCCAATGTTAGGAGCAAGGAGAAGAAAATATGGTGCTCTAATTGGCACACTGTCTGCTTTGTCCATGGGATTGGACTGGAGCTGTACCACCAAGAAGACTCCTCTGAGAAAGAATAATAGAAGGCAAATGTTTGTGTACAAAGTATAACAAATCTGTTGGTGTTCACAGTACAATGCTGAAACTGCTTAACCCAACAGTAAGCTACTGCCTAAGTGTCATTCAGAGGAAAGTTAAAGGTTCCTAGATGCATTGAGACCAATTATGTTAAAACTTTACTTGTAGGTCATGCTCAAAACTTCAGGTAAAAAGAATCAGAATTAAAGTCCCAGCTGAAGATGTCTTCCTGTTACATGCACTAGGGATGCTGCCAAGGAGATCCAGATTAAAGACCAGGGATTGGTTACACAGGCAGAGACCTTAAATCAATTTGTTTCTGACCCAACACAACATTACTTTAATGAGGGAAAGAAAAAGTTCACTATCACAACATTATTAAGTAGAAATTAGAAAAAGAGAACCAGTTATTCCTTAAAAAAAAAAAAAGACCAAAGAAATGGTATGAGTCTTGTGCTTTGTCAAAAAAATCTACCAGGTCAATCTGGGCGTCCCACCTGAATTCTGTAAGAGATGCATCAGGAGATCTCAGCTGCTCATTCTGAGAGTGCCACTGACCAGCTGAGTGACCTCAGAGAAGTCACTTTCCTGCTCTGAGCATATGTGTAAGATCCAGAAAGAGAAAGGACCACTTTCAGCTCTAAGAAGAGTCAATCCTAAAGCAATAATACTTTGGATGCAGAACATGCCTGCTTCTTTAATCTCCAAAGTTGAAAAATGCTGTCAGTCCTTAAAACCCCTCTGTCATTCACAGATATTAATTTTCTCTTATTGTAGTTGGAGTTAGCAGGGGTCATGAAGTTAAGTGGCAGGGACAAGGTAATATTGTCACCTTCCAGAGGAGAATGGAGAACTGTATTCCTGACTTCAACCCTGAGCTGGAGCCATTCAGGCTTGAATTGTATGAAAAATGAAAAAGAGTTTGATGGAATTTATGTTTGGTGGTTTCTTTAGTTAACTACATCAAATCAAGTCAGTTATGTGGGTCTTTCCATTTTCTTATTTATTTATTTATGTATTTATTATTTTTTCCTTTTTATTGAATTTATTGGGGTAACACTAGTTAACAAAATTGTATGTGTTTCAGGTGCACAATTCTACAACACATCATCTGTACACTGTATTGTGTGTTCACCACCCTAAGTCAAGTCTCTGTCCAGCAACAAGTCAAAATTCCTTGTTCGAGTTCTTTGCCACAGGCCTCACAAGTGGCTTTAAGAGTTACTGGGGGCATCTCAGATATGATTGGCATCTGGGCATTTGATACTTCTACTGTCTTCTTTCTCCAGGTCTGACTTTAAGATGCTGATTGGTCACCGTGGCTCTAGGTCTTGGTATATATAGGTCCATGGCCTAGAATTGAGGGTTACTGAATGTGTCACCTCTAATTGTGGCCCATTATGCTTGAAGCAAAACTCTGTACCTCCTTTTTTTCCTCAGGATAGAACTTACTCTAGAGGCTCTTTAGTTTTTCATATGAATAGACCCATCATGTTTGAGACTTTTCAAGCTCAAGATGAAGTTCTTGCATCTGTGGATTCTAGATATGGAGTCAAAATTGACCCACTGGCTACTGATATGATGGTCCATGATGCTCAAAGACAGAAGAGAAAAACTGCAGCTCACTGCTCCCTCTGGTGTGAGATCTCCCATTATGGAACAGTAGGGGAGGAAGATATTTGTGGTTCTGTGGCCTTGTTGCCCTCCCATAATATATCCTAGGCTCCCTTTGACCGAGGTGAAAAGTGGAGATTAACTTGCCTTTGTTATGGGGCTCTCATCTTTCTCTGCTTCTGCAACTCTTCAATGCCTATTACTGGAGGTGTGGTGAGTCCTCAAGATGCACCTGCCTGCTAGGACTCTCTGTGGTGCTGCCTGACCCTGCCTAACCACCATAGACAGGGTCCTGTACTGTGAGCCTCCTTCCTTTCTTCCCTATCAAAGCTTAGCTGTCCAAGGTGCCATTCCGTCAAGGGCTTATTTTTGGGGGGAAATAATAAACCACTTTAAGCTGAGATGTTGGATAATGATAATGACCTTGCAATACCTCTTCAGCTTCTCTTCCTGATGGAATGTAATCAGAGCTGAGAGGTGATACCCATGTTCTGGATTTGGGGACTAAAGACTGAGAGCCTTGCCAGGAACATAGAAATGACAGCTAACTTGGGAGTTGGTGGGACCCTTGGCTGTGGAGACAGTTCACACATGGTGCCCTTCACTTACTTCCTTATCATCCTCTAGGGATTCTTATAGCCAAACTTATGGCTAGATGACTGTTTATACTCACAGCATGCTTCCTGTCTGAAAAGGTACCTTTGCCTGATGCTATTTATGCTAGGTACCATTGTCTGTCTGCCAGAGTAAGAAAGGCTGACTGAGGAAATTAAGTCTGGGGCTTCATTCAGTAGGCAACATAGGAGTTGAAGGTGGAATAGTGAAGTTAAAATGGTGACCTATGAAAGCTATGGAATAAAGATAATTAGTTGAGAGTTAGTTAAGCAGACAGAAGAGGGTATTGGAGAATTTTGATCCCAGTTATTTTAGGGAGATCCGGGTTATGAACACAGAGAGGTTTAAGGAGAAATAAGTCAAATAGGTGAAGGGAAAGGTGCTGGGTAGGTTGGAATGGATATTCTTCTTGCAGAAGCCAAGGTTAAGGTCATTGTTAGATAAGGACAAGGACAATGCTACTCCTCTGGAAGTTTTGGTTGTTCACACCCACAGCACTCCTTGTTGAGCAGATGGATAAAAGGATGACTAAAAGAATGAATGAATGCTGCCAGTATATTCCGTGTGCTTACAAAGATGTGTTGGGTTGAGTCAGAGTTATTAATATAAATAGTTACAGTGGCAGTGACAGTCCTATTTTAAAAATTAACTTTAAAATCTATTCTAAAATGTTGTTTTAAATCCTACGCACATTCTCTTTTGCATTCCTTTGAAGACTCAAGTCTGTTATTTGCAGTTTTATTACTTTTAAGCATATGGGAGTACATATGATGCCTGTCCACTTTTTTCTAGGGCTAGTAAACAGACTGGAAACAGGACCAACATCATACTCGCTTTGCCATTGACCTTGTGCAGGCTCTCCAAGGTCAGTAATGATGGTTGGATTTTTGTCAGAATTGACTTGTATTCAGCAGGAGTTGGTCTCCCTCCTACTAACATTTGTAATCTTTCCTTACTATCTAGCCTGCTGTAAAATTACTAGTACAGTTTCCCCAGGCAATGACTTTGTGATTTTCTACTTTTTTTATTGATCAATAAACAGTTTTAAACCAAAAAACCCCACAGTGAGAATAGAAACTTATTTGGTACTTAGTAACTACCTGCCTTGGAGGAGAAAGAGGAATTGCAAAGATAAGAGCCTCAGGCTCCTGCTGCCTTCTTGAGGCCAGCACTAGTAGATGAAAATAGAAGAATACAGCCATGAGTTAACAAAACAATGTTTGTCTACACTATGCTGAAGAACTGATTGCTTCCCTTGAAATTAACCCATTGTTTCCTTGACCCTGGATACAGGCTCACCGGCTATAAACTTGAAGAAGGCAGGCTTTGGCTGTTGTGTTCACTACTGTTTTCCTAGTGCCAAGCATAGTGCCTGGCAGAGAGTTAGTACCCAGGAAACATTTGTAGAATAAGTGATTGAAATTAAATAATATAGCTATCAGGCTTGAGAATAAGGGGGGGGATTTATTTATCTGTTTTATGTTGAGATGGGTTTTGAGTAATTTCCTTGCATAAGTCTGACCTCTCCAGCGAGACTTAAGGAGAGACACTAGGCCAAATGTGTCTTCTGTTTCCTGTGGCAGTAATTTTAGCTTGTGACTATGGGAATGGCTCTAGGCAGTAATGGCTCTGTCTCCAATGATAAGGCTTCCTGTCATCATATTTGTTTTCTTTTGTTTTTGGGTAAATAGAATTTTGAAAATAAATGTAGTAAACAAGGCAATATTTTAGCAAAACCAAATCAATAACTTGCTAAGATTAACAGAAAATTTGTGATCAAAGTGTGTCCACATGGGCACATTTTGAGGTGTGGGAAATGTTTCTTCTCATGTTTGTTGATATCATTTGTTTTACCCAGGGAGTGTTTGGAGATAGGATGAAGTGAAAGCATGTTGTTGCTGTTGTTTAGAGTAATGTTGTATCATTTTGCTTCTTTGATGAGAAAAGTTGAGAAACAGTCGATGTTTGCTTTTCCTGTTTTCCATGGTGACATCGACTGACCAACACTGATCTGTTGTCTGTGCAATGACCATGACCCAGGCATGGCAAATGCCATGATGACACAAGCAAGGTATCAAGGAAAAAAGGAAGAAGAGCTAGAGAGCTAGTTTATAGTTCACAAAAGTAAGTATATTCTTCTCATAAATTTTCTTTATTAAAAAATGTATTTTAATTCATCAAACACAGCATTAGATACCCTGGGACCTAGAAGGGGTTTGGGAGCCACTATTTCGGTCTGTTTATTTTACAAGGAAACATCCAGAGCAGCTCATGACTGTTTGCTGTCACATAGCCAGTCAATGGCAGAGCCCTCCCACTCTGGACTCCAGCCATGGGTTGTGTACAGGGATTGCAACCTCTGATTGTTCTCTGTTCCAGTTACAGATAAAAGCTCAAGTAGCCATTTTCCTGTGCCTTTGCTGGTCTGTTCTCTCTCAGGTGGCCTCCTCCAGGTTCTAGGTATCCTGAGCCCCAGTGAGGCCCTTCCCAGGACATCAACAGGAAGTCTGGGGGTACAACTGGGAGTGAGGGTCACTGCCATGAGGCACTCGACCCACTCTCCACACCAGGGAAATTGTCTAGTGTCCATGGGTTCTGTGTGTCATGGCTCCAGCCCAGCATATGATTTTTCATTCAGCCAGCTGATTAAAAACTCTGTCCTTTTCAAAATGTCCCAGAAAGCCAAAATAACTCATATTTTCCCATGCAATGTTAGAGCAGATTTATGCCCCTTTAAGAACACATGTGGTGTAAAAAGATGAAGGAGGGAGAGCCTAAAGTTTTACATATGGCACCAAGGTAATCCTAGCTGAGTTGGCTTTTCTCTGGAGAGTGCCTGCAGGGTATAATTAGAACGGAGATAGCCATCCCAACAGATCTATACTTGAACAAATCATGGCTAAGACAAAAGTGGAACCAAGGCTAAATTTATCAATAACAGGGTTTAAAAAAAGGAAAAAAAGACAAATGAAATTGAAATTTCTCCTTGTTTATTTTAATGTGCAAAACACTTTCTAGCTGATTTATGCCACAGCTTCTGTGTGTTTTTCATTTTTTATTTATTTTGCAGTTAATTGGATTTCCAGGCTTTGTGGCCAGTCACTGAAATTGATCCCTGAAAAGATGGATTTATTGCTTAGACAGGCAGAATTCTGACAATCTTCAGAGAATAGAAAATAAAAGAAAACAGTCCATACACAGAACACTGTGGGTCACCACTGGGTCAGACCAGCAAGATATGTTACAGCTGGCAGGTTTATGCCAGAACTTCAGCACAAGTAATCTTGTTAAATGGGCAGGACTAGGACCCAACAAAATATTTTATAGGATATTGTAAGTGATCCATGCTTAGAAGGAAATGTAGCCTGGGTTGGAGACCCCAAGGTAGATGTCAGATCCCAGACAGATTGGATCCATGGTAGGAGAACTGACTAAATTTGAAACAGTGCATATCTTTGGTGGCTTAATCTGGGATGGGAACTTATTTTTCCTGGTGGGTAGTTTTGTTAGAATGCCATAATGGCTCAGGGTGCTAAAACAATATGGAACTCGTGGCTTTAGGTACTTTTTGCAGTGTTCTGAAAATTTGAGAAGCAACAGAACACTTCCCTTAGCTCTGCAAAAGTCTGACATCTATTCAACCATTTGTCCATCCATCCATCCATCCATCCATCCATCCATACATCCATACATCTATCTGTCTATCCATCCACGTAATAATTTTTTACTGAGCTCCTGTTATTTGCCAAGCATTTTGCCTAGTGCTAAGCATAGAGGAATGAATAATAAAAAAATATAGTTCCTACCTTGTGGAGCTTATACACTATTGGACAAGTAATTAAAAGTTTAGTGAGTTAGAAAAGAGAAATTTGGGGAGCTGAAGGAACATATTAAGGTGAATCTACCCTGTTCTAGAGATTGGGGGAGGCTTCTAGGAGGAAGGGCTATGAGCTGAGACCTAAGAGACTAGATATACTACTGGACAACTGTTAAACCATATATAAAATAAAACTCTGACCCACAATCTGTGAAAACCAGCCTAGAATACCAACCCATTACCTATAGTCACCAGCCTTAGCAGCAGCCTGCTATCTATAAGTTAGACCATTATCTCTAGCAACCAGTCCAGGAGGCCAAACCATAACCACTTTAACAATCTGCCAGGACTTGATTAATAACTAACAACTTCCCTAATTTATGTCCATCCTTGCAATTTAGGACCAACCAGAGAAAGCCAAATAGGTGCCCTTAACCAATTACTCAGGATGTCCACAGTTCTAGTTACCCTACGTGCAGGCCAACGCCCCTGATCAGAGCACATCTGATGTCTTTCCTTTTTCCATCATGAAACCTTGACACTCTTCTTTCTGCCTTTGAGTCTTGCAAAAACTCCAGTGATGGTGACTGACTCCCTTGCTACAGCAAACTGTGAATAACCAGCCTTTGATCATTATCATTTGGTCAGTCTTTGTTTATCACTTAGCCCATACACAGAGCACTGTGGGTCTCCATTGGGTCAGACCAGCAAGATATATTATAGCTGTCATGTTTATTCCAGAACTTCCACACAAATAATCTTGTTAAATGGGCAGCACCAGAACCCAACAGAATTTTTGTAGGATGTTGTCAGTGATACATACTTAGGAGGAAATGTAGCCTAGGTTGGGATCACAGGGTAAATATCAGATCCCAGACAGATTGGACCCATGGAGAATGAACATGTGTGTGGGCCAGACAGTGGTGGGGAAAAGAGTATTTCAGGAGATGGAAGAGCATATACAAAGACACTAAGACAAGAAAGGCTAAAGTACACTCTTCATAAAAAAGAGTTGAACATGACTGAAATGTAGAGGGTGAGGGAGAGACTAACATGACAGGTAGCTGGGGTTAGAGTGAGGTTGGGGTATTGGGATCATGTAGGGCCTTGTGAGCTATGTTGCTCTTGGCCTTTATCCTAACCAGAGACTCATTTGTGGCCAGTGCTTGCGGAGTTTTCCTCTTAACTAGTATATTTCCACAGTGACTTACCTCCAGCTCCTGTCTGATCTCTTTATGTGAGCTCCCACTGCATATCTGAGGGCCTAACTTCTCTGAGACCTCTCTGTTTTCTTCTGACATTACTTTGGTGAGTCAGATGCACAGGTATAGACATTTTGCTGTGTGAGTCCTGTTCTTTGCCAGGACCAGCTCCAATTCCCCTGATCTTCTGGTGGTGAAGTAAGCCCTGGCTTGTTGAAACTCTCTTCTAGGATTGTGCCCAGCAGAACCTAGGGAGAAAGGTCAATGTGGCAGAGACTGTGAATTATCCCCATATCTGTTTTCACCTTCTTCTATTGTAATAGAGCATAGGGTCAACTAGATTGGAGATATTTCTCCTTTGTAGTTTTTGTTCAAGGTCAGAATAATGAGATCTGAGAGGAAGTGATATATACAACTTCTGGGATGTGCACTTAAAGAAACAGGGCATTCCCTCCCCTTTCTGATGGCTAGAATGTGAAGGCAGTGCTGGGGGAGCCATTTTGGACCAGATGTGCCAGGGATGGCAGAGCCACCAGAGTAACTGATGGGAACTGCTTATCTCTGGAAAGTTAGGTGAGAGAGAAATATATTTTTATCTTATTCAAGTCACTATTATATCAGTCTCTGCAACCACAGGTAACCTATAGTTTAATCCAGTAGTTTTCAAAGTGTGGTCTTGGCACCCTGACTGGCATTGCTCAGTGGGTTGGGCTGTCTGGCAAAGCCAAAGGTCACCAGTTCTCCAGTTCTATTCCTGATCAGAGCACATGTCTGGGTTGTGGACCTCATCCCCAGTGGGGGTGTGAAAGAAGCAGAGGCAACTGATCGAATTTTATGTTTCTCTCCCTCGCTTTCTCCTTCCCTTCCCCTCTTTCTAAAAATAAATAAATAAATAAATAAATAAAATCTTTAAAGGAAAGTGTGGTTTTGGAATCCCTGAGGGAGCCTCTTTCAAGAGGCTTGCAAGTTTAAAACTATATTCATAACAGTACTGAAACTTTGCCTTTTTCACTCTCATTCTCTCATGAGTGCATAGGTGAGTTTTCCAGAGGCTATTTGGTGAGTGATATTGTAACAGATTGAATACAGAAGCCAAAATATGAATACAGCTGTCTTCTATTAAGCCAGATATTAAGGAGGTTTGAAAAAGTGAAAAATAATGCTGATCTTCACAATAAAAGATTTTTGAAAATATAGTTCTTAAAGTATTTATGTTTATAATATTTTATTACTGTTATTTTTAAACAAGTTTAAAAAGAAACATAAAAAATGTATCTATTATCCTTTCCATGGTAAATATGGAAAGATGTAACCCACATATATAAAAGGAGTTCAGGATGTCAATAACTTTTAAAAGTATAATGAAATCTAAAATGTTTGGGAACCATTGTTCCAACTAATCCACGGAGCTAGACAGTCCCTCCTCTAGGTCATGTGTACCTATTATTTTGGGGATTTGCGGGATTGGCTGCCACATCTTCTTCTTTCTGCACCCTGCTTTTGATTTCTTCTCTCCTCGTTTCCTCTGATTCTCCAGCAATTACTTTAATTAATACAGAATCCACTGGCTATTTCCTCAATCCTTCATAGATTTATCTTCACTTAGCAATGAATGTTGGTCGGGGATTGTGCTTGGTGTTGGGGGGTCCAGGATGACAGACACAGTTCCTACCTTGGTTTGGCTCACCGTCTAGCAGTGGAGACAGGCTGTGAATAAATAGTGACAGCCCAGGAGCATGTCAGCACAGTAGTGGACTGTATAGGGTATAGAAGTGAGGCAGAGAAGGACATGATCAGCTCCTCCTAGGGGAAGTGGGGGTGGTAAGTTAGGAAGTTTTTAAGGCAGAGGTGACTCAGGGATACTGAAAAATAAATATAAATGATCAAATTTATATTCAAGGAGTGAAAGGAAGAGGAAGGGCACCTAGGTGGAGGAAACAGCAGGGGCAAAGGTACTGTGACTTCATAGGGCAGGTTGTTTTTGGAAATTCTAAGTGGTTCATTATGGGATGAGAAGCTGGAAAGGGGACAAAATCTATTAAGTAATGATAAACAATTTGGCTTTTAGTCTTAAGGTGGTGGGGAATTGTGGAATAATTAAGCAG